ATATGGTTTCACTGCCGGCAAGTCTACTACTGATGCAGGTGTAGCGCTTATTACACATATATTCGAATCATGGGAAAAATCACAGGATGCTCTCGGCGTTTTTTGTGACTTGTCGAAGGCGTTTGATTGCGTAGATCATGAAACACTTTTGTACAAGCTCAAACACTATGGTATTAGAGATAATGACCTAAGTCTAATGAAAACTTATCTAGAGGATAGGGTGCAAACTGTAGATATTGATGGTGTAAAGTCTAAGGGAACTAATATAAAAATGGGCGTTCCTCAAGGTTCAATATTAGGCCCATTTCTCTTTTTAATTTATATAAATGACCTTCCCTACATGGTAGAGAAAGTTGCAGATATAGTGTTATTTGCGGATGATACTTCGTTAGTGTTTAAAATTGGTCGCCAATGTAATCAATTAGACGATGTAAATTATGCTATCTCTGCTATACTAAATTGGTTCACATGTAATAATCTATTATTGAACTCCAACAAAACTAAGTGCATTAAATTCACGCTGCCTAATGTAAAACAAGTAAATACGCAGCTATTGCTTAATGATGAAATAGTAAATTTTGTTAATGATACAGTTTTTTTAGGAATAACAGTGGACTCGAAGTTACAATGGGGGCCCCATATTTCAAAATTAGCCAGTAGACTTAGTTCTGCTGCTTATGCAATTAGAAGGATAAGGCAATTAACAGACGTGGCGACGGCAAAACTTGTATATTTTAGTTATTTCCATAGCATTATGTCATATGGCATACTGCTATGGGGTAAAGCTGCCGATATAAATACTATATTTATTTTACAAAAGAGAGCCATACGTTCTATTTATGGTATGGGTTCTAGAGAGTCATTACGTCAATGCTTTAAACAATCAAATATCCTCACCGTTGCCTCACAGTACATTTATGAAAATATTATGTATACAAGGAAAAACTTAGATAGTTTCAAGAAACTTAAAGACTGTACAAGTAGAAACTTACGCAATAAAAATAAGCTAATTTTACCTAAATGCCGTCTACACAAAGTTAGTAATTCATTTTATGGTAATTGCGTAAGATTCTATAATAAACTGCCAGAGTCTACGCTAAATCTTACAGAGAGGCAATTCAAATCTTATATTAAACAAATGTTATGTAAAAAAGCCTATTATAAGATAGATGAATTTATAGATGATAGCAATATATAGCAAGAATAAGTTTATTTGCGGACAACGTTATAATTTTAATTTTCATACTGCTTTCTTGATATATGATAGCGTAGCGGCTTTTGTATTGAATGCCGCATGCATCCTTATGTAAACTGCGAATACTGTAACTACCATATAGTAATTTTTGTAGCTGTGACGTGGTCGTGTGGAATGAGTAGTCATGCTCACTAAAATGTCCAGACATGTGGCGGCGTGGTGGGCCGGGTCAATGGGCTCCCTAAAATATGGTCGAGCGCAGTGATGGCTGGCTCATCCGTCATACTCGTGAACGAGTGCTGCTTGTAGGGACTGGTCTGCTCTTATCACTACGACTGATTTAATCTTATTGCAAGATTATATTTGACCCAAAAAATTAGTGCTTGTTGGTAGTTTGTATTCACACGTTTCGACTTGTAAATGTAAACTTACAAGGATTATTTAAAAGAGCAACACACAAGTTTCTTGCTCGTTCTTCTTGTGATGAGACAGCTTTCCGAACGAGTGGTAGATAAAAAACAAATTGTTATGACTATTCAAAAGTGCTTAAATTAAGTTTATTTGAATAAATGATTTTCTATTCTATTCTATTCTATTCTATTCTATTCTATTATTGTACTTAACATAGACTTGTCTATTATGTAGGAAATTAAAAATCCAGTTAATCAACTTATCTGGTATTCCTAGTGTTTGCAGTTCATTAATTAGAATATGATGATTAACATTGTTAAAAGCACCAACTATATCAAAGAAGACAGAAACCAGTATATTGTTACTAGAAAAAGCACGATGAATATCTAGGTTTAAATGATTTAAGCTCTCTGTAGCTGAAAAACCTTTCCTGAAGCCAAACTGATTTGAAGGTAATAACTTATTTGATTCTATATAAAATTCTAACCTTTGTTTAATCATTTGTTCGAAAAGTTTACTCATACAAGATGTTAATGCTATAGGTCTATAGGAGTCTGAATGATTTATCAATTTGCCTGGTTTAAGAATAGGAATCAGACAATCTGTTTTCCAATCGGGTGGTATTTCTGAAGTATTCCAAAGAGAGTTAAGTAACATTAACAAAGTGTTTTTAGAATTGGATGATAATGTCTTTAACATTTTGTAAGAGATATTGTCAAGACCGAAAGCTGTGTTACGTCTGCTGTTTAAGGCACTGTAAAATTCTGTTATAGTAAAAGGGTTTATAATGAAGCTGTTATTATTATTTAATGATACCTGTATGTTGGGTCTACTTTTGGCTGACGGTTTGGATGTAAATTTACTTAAGAAAGGAGAAATCCAATCAGTGTCTGAAGATATAAGTGAACAGTTGTTATTAAATGTTTTATTAAATTTTTTCATTTTATTCCAGATAACTGATAGAGGAGTTTGCCGATTGATCGACTCACAGAATTTTAACCAACTGGCATTTCTTTCGTTTTTGAGAGTAAGTTTTTTGATTGCCTGTTGTCTTTTAAATCTTATGTGATTTTCTTGATTGGGATTATTTTTAAAATCTATGTAAGTTTTCTTACATAATTCTATTGCTTGAGAACAAGTGTTGTTCCACCATGGCAAAGAAAGTCTTGTCTTGTGATTACAGACTAAAGAATGTTTTAAATTTCCATGTGAATTATTAGCTGTGTTAATGCTTTCTATTAAAATATTGCACATTTGTTTATAGGAGTCTAAAGGGGTGGAAGGATCGTAATTATATTCATTACATAATTTATTATCAACAGTTTCTTGGTATACAAGCCAGTTTACATTATTGTAATTTGGCCTAAAAAAATTACTATGATTAATGGAAATGTTATTTGTATTTACAGTGTTACATAAAAGGTGGGTGATGGTTGGAAGATGATAGCTCCCTAAAGGATTATCATGTACAGACCAATTGCATCGGAGTGACAGAGAGGCAGAAACAATTGTAAGATCCAGAGCACTTGGACTCCATATATCAGAGCCTACAGTAGTGGGTTGACCATTATTAATTATACAAAGATCATTGTCTTCAATAGTATTAAGAAGAATAGTGCCTCTAGAATCGGTTCTAGAGCAACCCCAAGTGGTATTGTGGGCGTTAAAGTCACCCGCTATTATCATAGGTGACGGGATAGATTTAAATAAGTTATCTAAATGTAAATGTGTAAAGTTACGTGACGTTGCGGATGTAGGGCTGTAAAAACTAACAAAAGAAATTGTTTCATTTTTCAAATATAATTTTAAAGCGATATTTTGCAAAGAATCATCGTGATATGTATTTAATCTGTCATAATTCAATTTGTTTTGTATTAGAATGGCTACACCATTATGATTATTACCAATGTCTAATCTTTCTATATTGTAACCTTTGATATTAAAGTTTTTGAAAGGCTTTAGCCAAGTTTCAGAAAGAAGGGCGATATGTATATTGTTTTTATATAAAAAATAATTAAAAGCAAGTCTATTATTTATCAAGCTCTGGGCATTCCACTCGATAATATTTAAAATATTATCCATTAAAGAGATACTATTAATTAGTGTTAGTACTGGAAATCTTAAAAGTATCTAAAATTATGTTTTTTATGCCTTCTGAGTTTAAGGGAGAGTCATCTGTTTTATTAACAGAAATAATTTTAATAACTGATGCAATGATTAGTTTTAAAAAGTCATCATTTTGCAATAATGTGTTAATATTGTCAGTAGGTTTAGTTTTAGTGTTTAAAGATGGAAAAGATTTTTCATTAAATAAACTAGAGAAAGGAACAGTCTTGTGTTTTATTTTGTTTTCTTGTATTTTCTTCTTTTTAATTGGGCATTCAGCTGAGATAGCTATATGGTTACCATTACAGTGAAGACATACAGCTTCTGTGCTATTTTTAGTGCAATCTTTAAAATGATGGTTTTCTCCACATATTGAGCAACGTTGAGTATTTTTGCAAAATTTACCAATTATTAGCTGTGTTAATGCTTTCTATTAAAATATTGCACATTTGTTTATAGGAGTCTAAAGGGGTGGAAGGATCGTAATTATATTCATTACATAATTTATTATCAACAGTTTCTTGGTATACAAGCCAGTTTACATTATTGTAATTTGGCCTAAAAAAATTACTATGATTAATGGAAATGTTATTTGTATTTACAGTGTTACATAAAAGGTGGGTGATGGTTGGAAGATGATAGCTCCCTAAAGGATTATCATGTACAGACCAATTGCATCGGAGTGACAGAGAGGCAGAAACAATTGTAAGATCCAGAGCACTTGGACTCCATATATCAGAGCCTACAGTAGTGGGTTGACCATTATTAATTATACAAAGATCATTGTCTTCAATAGTATTAAGAAGAATAGTGCCTCTAGAATCGGTTCTAGAGCAACCCCAAGTGGTATTGTGGGCGTTAAAGTCACCCGCTATTATCATAGGTGACGGGATAGATTTAAATAAGTTATCTAAATGTAAATGTGTAAAGTTACGTGACGTTGCGGATGTAGGGCTGTAAAAACTAACAAAAGAAATTGTTTCATTTTTCAAATATAATTTTAAAGCGATATTTTGCAAAGAATCATCGTGATATGTATTTAATCTGTCATAATTCAATTTGTTTTGTATTAGAATGGCTACACCATTATGATTATTACCAATGTCTAATCTTTCTATATTGTAACCTTTGATATTAAAGTTTTTGAAAGGCTTTAGCCAAGTTTCAGAAAGAAGGGCGATATGTATATTGTTTTTATATAAAAAATAATTAAAAGCAAGTCTATTATTTATCAAGCTCTGGGCATTCCACTCGATAATATTTAAAATATTATCCATTAAAGAGACTATTAATTAGTGTTAGTACTGGAAATCTTAAAAGTATCTAAAATTATGTTTTTTATGCCTTCTGAGTTTAAGGGAGAGTCATCTGTTTTATTAACAGAAATAATTTTAATAACTGATGCAATGATTAGTTTTAAAAAGTCATCATTTTGCAATAATGTGTTAATATTGTCAGTAGGTTTAGTTTTAGTGTTTAAAGATGGAAAAGATTTTTCATTAAATAAACTAGAGAAAGGAACAGTCTTGTGTTTTATTTTGTTTTCTTGTATTTTCTTCTTTTTAATTGGGCATTCAGCTGAGATAGCTATATGGTTACCATTACAGTGAAGACATACAGCTTCTGTGCTATTTTTAGTGCAATCTTTAAAATGATGGTTTTCTCCACATATTGAGCAACGTTGAGTATTTTTGCAAAATTTACCAATGTGGCCATATCTCAGGCACTTTAAACATTGTGTTACTGGTGGGGTGTAAGCGCTTACCTCGAAATACCATGAGTTGATATGGACATTCGTAGGGAGTGTGGGACAGGCAAAGGTAATGGCGACTGATTGGGTGGGCAGAAAACTTGTGTTACCATCTTCATCACGACTTCTTCGCATAAACCGGCGCACCGAGACGACGTCTCTGGAGCTGGAAATACCATTGTAAATACTTTTGTTTGACATGTATATAGGTACGTTTTTTATGACCCCTGTTATTTCTGTTAATGTTGCAGGTATTGTGGCTTTAACATGTAAATCTTTTTGTACTTTGGTGTTATTTAATGCTATGTTGGCTAAACCTGGCCTTTCAAAAATGGCTCCAACTTTATATTTATTAATTCTCTTGAAACGTTTTATACCCTTGCTTTGGCGCTTAAGACAGGCGCCAAGGGACATAAGGTCTCTGTCGCCTAAAGGCCTCGTATCGGTACTTTCATAAATAACTATATATTCAAAATTTCCTCCATCCTCAGGATATTGGCGACAGTAATTATCGATTTTAAAAACTTTATACTTATCCTCATCCATTGAGGAGTCAGAATCTGGACTGTCGACATCCCTCGAATTTTCTGGGGAGCAATTATCATCGGCTTTGCGCTTTTTGCGCTTACTTCCCATTTTAGGACTGTAATTAACTGCAAATTATGTTAGTTGTACCTATATATACAAATTTATATATTATTGAATATAAATAAAATATAAAATAAAGGAAAAATATTTAAAACACCCGCTCTATTTGACTTCCCGCCAAAAAGTCAGATAATTTCATATATATAATAAAGTACTCTGTGGATAAAGGTCACCATAGACCAGTAGAAGTACACAGATAGCAAAAACAAAAACAAGCACTTGTTGTATTTATTGTATTGGAGAGCGCCACTATACTTTAATGAAAGAATAATCAGAATTTTCGGTCATTACTTTAGATTTTAAAAAAAGCATACCTATATCGAAAAAGGAATGATTTAAAATAATTTTTCCTTTTTCGATATTATTTCATTATAATTTAATGTGAGTGGAGCCACTATTTTATAATAATATTATGTTATAACGTAAATAGTTATTTTTTCTACATATATATGTCATTACAAAAATTAGAGTTACAATTGCGGATAGGTAATTTTATGATTCCAAAATGCAAGCAATGACGATTAAGAAATATTTAGAATATGAAAGTCAATGTCATCAATTTGCTGTCACTGTCATGTTAGAAGTCTTAATCTTATTGTTCGTCATACAATTTGTTTTTCTTCTATTTTTTAACTCTCTTCACAGAATAGTAATAATTTTACAAAAACTACCAAGCTTCATAAATATATTAGGTAATAATATATTTCCAAAACTTTTCAAATTTTATAGTAGTAAAATGAATTATGAGACGAATAGGCTTAATACTTTTACAAACTGGCCTACATCAGCTCCCGTAGATCCTATAAGGATAGCTAAGGCGGGTTTTTACTACACTGGTGTGGGTACAGAGGTTCAGTGCTTTCATTGTAGTGGAAAAATATCCGAGTGGAATTACGGCGACCAGGTTATGTGGCGTCATCGGCAGCTAGATCCTAATTGCGAGTTCATAGTGAATCCACAGCAATCGGGTAATGTGCCCCTTGTGCTAGGATCTGAGTGTCCCTCTAATATAGACTCTACAACGTCGTGGTCTGCTACAAATGATCAGCAGCCGGATCCTATAGAGTCATCTCAAGATTACGGACTGACTGAAGAGGACGAAGTTTACAAAAGTGATGCGTTGCGACTATTATCATTTGTCAATTGGAATGTAAGGCCACTCTTATATTTTTATATAATCCATACAGAATTATCAGTTAAGTACAAAACTTTCATATTATTCATTCCGCTAATTTGGAGTATAATGTTATGAGTATAAAACTATATTATAATATATTCATAATTTCATTTATGTTTCTTGGGTGCGATGAAGTATAATTTTTGCTTTAGTAAATTAAAATATTAATAACATATGTTTTTTAACTGCTCAGTACATAATAAATAATTATTTGGGTATAAACTATGTCCTATTTTAATTTTAGTTTAAGATTCCATTGAAATTGTATTTAAAACACTCCATTGAAATTGTATTGTTATAGATATTTAATTCTTAATTATATATAAATAAGCTTGAAAGGACAATCAATAGGTCATATTGACCTTTGTTAACTTCACATTGTATCAAGGTTGTAAGTAAACTGCAAATAAGTATATTTTCAATTGTACTGTTGTAGCTTTTGGACATTTGACCTTACAACTACATATTTAGATGCTGACACAATGCTATAACTGTGTGTGTGTTTTTTTAAAAAATATAACTATAATATTCTCTAGGAATATATTATTTTTTCCCTGAAACTATATACAACAACAATATGATAATACACTTTAATTTTTTTTTATATGATTGGTTTTAAGTTCCATCTAATTCCATGTAATTTCCATTAAGTAGTCTATCTGAATATAGAATGAGTTCATTACCTAAAACCCAACTACTTAAAAATCACACTCGGAAAGATGAAACAAGAAAACTATCACCGGAAATTATTAGTTGTATCCTATCATTAATTTTTTGTCATGAAGATATATATTTTTATTCTTAATTATTGAATGTGACATCACATAGCCTGTAGCAAAGGGGACATTTGAAGTATTTTCAATGATACCCAATTTGTCTAGTTCAAGATAGTTAGTCAAGTTATACATTCCAGTCAAAAAAATTACCAGAAGAGGATTAAAGCGTTATTTAGAATGGTTGTATTTTTATTTCAGGATAATTCAGTGTCCCGTGAAGCCTTAGTGAGTGCTGGTTTCTATCATGCAGGAGAAGGCAGACTCCGCTGTGCTTGGTGTGGTGGTGAATTAGCACCATTTAGAAGATTGGGAACACTTGGGCCTCCACTTGAAGTGCACAGAATGTAAGCAACATATAAATATTCATTTAATAAAAATTACATGTTATGTGTATATATAATATATATATTTTAAAACAGAAATATAACAAGTTATTATATAATATTTATAAACAAGTAAAATGTTGATCTTGCCCTAGGCTTTACACGCTCCTTAGTTATATTTCTGAATAAATTAAAATAATGCACACAGCTACATACAAAGTATGTATTAAAAGTTGTAATCTTTGATATATATTTAAAAATTAGTTTTGAGAATTTTAATAACTTGAAGTTTATATTCACAATCTCTTATCAAAATCTAGATACATTGAAAATTGTTTACCAATCAATACTAATATTATATTATTAAGAAGAAAGATATAATTATAGTAAAAACAGAACATACATGACTGATCTTAAAAATTCTTAATATAATACTAGGGATGTAAAACTTGAGTAATAATAATATTGAACTGTGTTCCAAGTAATCTATAATAAAAAGTATTTATTTCCATCCTAAAGATCCATTTGAATTCCAATGAAAAGAATTACCTCTTAATATTCTTAGTTTTGCTGTTTATAGATGACAATTCATAAAGCATTTGCATTGATTGTAGGTACTTCCCTAGATGTGAGCATGCAGAATCATTAGAGGCGGCGAGGCATGTTAACCACTTCTCGCCACCGGCGTCGCCACCGCCGCAAACACCTGTACAGTCGCCACCAGACGCCAAGGAAAACCACACTCAATCGTGAGAAATGCATATACGTCATTTACATTATGAATATAGAATCATGGAATGTTTAGTAATTCTTAGAATTATACTTTAATAATTCTAAGAATTACTAAAAATTATATTTATTAAAATTAATTTTGGCTTTGTAAAATACTGTATCGGGCTATTATGACGTCATTACATGTGTTATATATGTCAATATTAGAATTATGTGAATAAGCTAAATAAGTAGGTATATTGTAACACTTATCTTAGATTTCTGTAATTGCACATATTAATTAAAATTAATTTTTGTTATTTTATTAATTAATTTTTACAGACGAACAAATTTTTACATCTATTTTAGTCCAACCCAATTTTTTTTTTTATATTAAGGCAAAACAATGTTTGCCGGGACAGCTAGTCTTATATATAAAATTCTCGTGTCACAGTTTTCGTTCCCATACTCCTCCGAAACGGCTTGACCGATTCTCATGAAATTCTGGAGCGTATTGAGTAGGTCTGAGAATAGGCCAACATCTATTTTTCATCCTCCTAAATGTTAGAGGTAGTCCACCCCTAAATTTTTTTTTTATTTTAGACAAAACAACGTTTGCCGGGACAGCTAGTTTTAATATATATACGCTCCTTTTTGCAAATTTTCACATATAAATTTCATGACTATTGTTTAATTGGATAAGAGACAATAATCTTTTATCTTTTAGTTGTTGGTAAATCATTAATTTCTTTACATCCCATAACTCAATACATATTGGCCAGTTAGTTTGGCTGGTACAGGTACTTCATACTATAATCTATTATTATTATCTATATAGAGCAAGAGCCCAACTGCCAGACATACGTCATTTTAGTTGAAAGTTCTTGTATGTGTGTCCCCAACACAGGAAAGAACGATCCCCAAACATGAAACCTGGATCGTGGTTCCTTTGGCAGGTACCAGGTAACAAAGGTGTAAAAAAATTCATATCAAATTCGTTATTTTAAGAAACTCCATATTTTCATATATTGTTCGTAGCATTATTATAATTTGCGCTGCTCATTGCCAGACACGTAGTGTGGTTCCAACCCCCCGCCGGACCCCCCTAAACTATACTATTTTAGAAATAAACTTACGTCATTTTAATAAAGCTGAAATTTATATATATTATTGAGAGTTCCAAGAAAACTGTCTAGTTTTCTTGGTTCCTTATCCTACCAGACTCATTGAAACCGTATATTGGGTAACAACGGTGTATACAATTTCATATCAAATTCGTTATTTTAAGATGCTCCATATTTTCACATATTGCTCGTAACAGTATTATAACTTGCTCTGGTCGTTGCCAGACCCTTAGTTGGTTCATAAACTATACTATTTTAGAAATAAACTTACGTCATTTTAATAAAGCTGAAATTTATATATATTATTGAGAGTTCTCTCAAACTGAGTTTCCTAAATTGCCAGACAGTTTTCTTGGTTCCTTATTCCACCAGAATCATTGAAACGGTATATTGGGTAACAACGGTGTATACAATTTCATGTCAAATTCGTCATTTTAAGATGCTCCATTTTTTTACATATTGTTCGTAGCATTATTATAACTTGCGCTGCTCATTGCCAGACACGTAGTGTGGGTCCAACCCCCCGCCGGACCCCCCTAAACTATACTATTTTAGAAATAAACTTACGTCATTTTAATAAAGCTGAAATTTATATATATTATTGAGAGTTCTCTCAAACTGAGTTTCCTAAATTGCCAGACAGTTTTCTTGGTTCCTTATCCTACCAGACTCATTGAAACCGTATATTGGGTAACAATGGTGTATACAATTTCATATCAAATTCGTTATTTTAAGGTGCTCCATTTTTTCACATATTGCTCGGAACAGTATTATAACTTGCTCTGCTCGTTGCCAGACCCTTAGTGTGGTTCCAACCCCCGCCGGACCCCCTAAACTATACTATTTTATAAATAAACTTACGTCATTTTAATAAAGCTGAAATTTATATATATTATTGGGAGTTCTCTCAAACTGAGTTTCCTAAATTGCCAGACAGTTTTCTTGGTTCCTTATCCTACCAGACTCATTGAAACCGTATATTGGGTAACAACGGTGTATACAATTTCATGTCAAATTCGTTATTTTAAGATGCTCCATTTTTTCACATATTGCTCGTAACAGTATTATAACTTGCTCTGCTCATTGCCAGACCCTTAGTGTGGTTCCAACCCCCCGCCGGACCCCCATAAACTATACTATTTTATAAATAAACTTACGTCATTTTAATAAAGCTGAACTTTATATATATTATTGAGAGAACTATTAAACTGAGTTTCCTAAATTGCCAGACAGTTTTCTTGGTTCCTTATCCTACCAAACTCATTGAAACCGTATATTGGGTAACAACGGTGTATACAATTTCATATCAAATTCGTTATTTTAAGATACTCCAGTTTTTCACATATTGCTCGTAACAGTATTATAACTTGCTCTGCTCATTGCCAGACCCTTAGTGTGGTTCCAACCCCCCGCCGGACCCCCCCAAACTATACTATTTTATAAATAAACTTACGTCATTTTAATAAACCTGAAATTTATATATATTATTGAGAGTTCTCTCAAACTGAGTTTCCTAAATTGCCAGACAGTTTTCTTGGTTCCTTATCCTACCAGACTCATTGAAACCGTATATTGGGTAACAACGGTGTATACAATTTCATATCAAATTCGTTATTTTAAGATGCTCCATTTTTTCACATATTGCTCTAACAATAGTATAGTTTAGGGGGGTCCGGCGGGGGGTTGGAACCACACTACGTGTCTGGCAATGAGCAGCGCAAGTTATAATAGTGCTACGAACAATATATGAAAATATGGAGTTTCTTAAAATAACGAATTTGATATGAATTTTTTTACACCTTTGTTACCTGGTACCTGCCAAAGGAACCACGATCCAGGTTTCATATTTGGGGATCGTTCTTACCTGTGTTGGGGACACACATACAAGAACTTTCACGTTTATTAAAATGACGTATGTCTGGCAGTCGTGGGCTCTTGGGCTAATAGTACCCCTAACATTTATGTCCATTTACAGACGCCATCTATTGGCTCAACGACAACAATAAATGAATATCATGATAATTGTATGACGCCATCTATTAGTTATTTATATTTATAAACTAATTAATACAACAGTAGGTGGCATTTAGAAACAATATTTTCTATGAAAAGTTCTTCCTAATTCCTCCAGCCATTTTCACGTGAAAGTTTAAGACACAAACAGCGTTTGTCTCGTCATGATTATACGAATTTATTATATGTAGGAAAGATAATATTATTACTCTTTATTGTGCATAAAATAAACAAATACTATATAATTTACAAAAAAAATAATATAAAAATATGTTAATAAAAGGCGGCCTTATCGCTCAAAACAAATTCTTACAAACAATATTATGCAAAAACTAGATTATACAATACAAATACAAATAGTTTATTTCACAGCACAAAATACGATACACAAAGTATGTGAACCTTATCCATTTAAGTTTATTCAAACATGTATTAGGATGTGACCACTCTTCCTAAATATTATGATTATGCACAGATTACGCAAAGATTATATACGCTGTGGTTGTCTTCAGCACCGGCGCTGAGCATAACGCTCGTCTGCTGGAGGCGGGTGGCACGTGGAGGTCGCTGGGCGTAGTTGGCGGTGGTGCGCGGCACCCGGCTCGGGCTTCGTTGGCGGCTCGCCTCGCTACCTTCGACCGCTGGCCGTCGGACCGCACGCAAGTGCCTATGACGCTAGCTGAGGCCGGATTCTTCTACACTGGCACTGGTGATCAGGTAATATAGTCTGTTATTTTATATATTACTAGCTACTCGCCCCGACTTCGCCCGGGTGTACATGTATTATATATATATATAAACCTTCCCCTAGAATCACTCTATTAAAAAAACGCTTAAAAATCCGTTGCGTAGTTTTAAAGATTTAAGCATACATAGGGATGGACAGACAGAGACAGTGACTTTATTTTATACTATATAATGATGTATTATTGTTGTTTATACATGTTTTGCGTCGGCGTCTAATACTTTATGTTTATTTATTTATAATTTACTTATAATAAATTAACAATACAAACATACATGTCATTGTATAAAATCTATTCACAGAGGTAGACTTATCAGAAAGGAAGTTAGCAGACAGTTGAGAGTGAGTAAGACAGTGACATTACAGGTTACCAAGGCGTGACATAATCTTAAACCTCCAGAATGGCAACGCATGGTAATCTTATGTCTGTGGGTGATGCTTTGCATGAATATATGACGTTTATCACTTACAACCAGGTCAGTCGTCAGCTTATTCATAAAAGTGACAGTGACATAAAAAAAAATTACCACAATTTTGTCGATCTTACCTTGATATCAGTGCCCTTAACATTATTATATATAATAGGTACGCTGTTTCTACTGCGACGGTGGGCTCGGCATGTGGGAGGCCGGAGATTCTCCATGGTCTGAGCATGCACACTGGTTTCCACATTGCGGATATGTGCTGCTGCTAAAGGGGCAGGAATTTGTCGACTCCTGTGTTAACCGTACCTCCATACAGCGAACTGTGAGTATTACCAGTAATTACAATATTTGTAATATTCTGATATATTTACATTAATTAAGTAATAAAGCCTTCATTCCAAAGTTAGGTTATATTCTATAACATTTGTAGTTGTTTTAGTTTTATCTATGAGCTGTCTTGATTTATTTGCTAGGGTCCAGGCCTTTTGGCGTACACCTCCTCCAGTTCGCTGAATTGTACTCTATCCGATGCAACTCTATTCCAAGGTGGTCCCAGGGTTCTGGTATTATCCTTCTGGTCGTTTGTGTCTTTCGGGGTCTGCTCTAATCACTACGACTGTTTTAATCCTATTGTGTATTTCATATCTGACGCCAATAAAGTAGTGCTAGTTGGTGATTTGTATTCGCACGTTTCGAATTTGAAATGTAAAGTTACACGCAAGTTTCTTGTTCGTTCTTGTGATGAGAGAGCTTTTCGAATGAGCGGTAAATTCAAAATTGCTTAATTGAACTTTATTTGAATAAATGATTTCTATTCTTATTCTTATTCCTTCCATTGTGTTCTTTGTCTGTATTATCCCTATATAAACTCTTTTAAAATAATAATCAAGTATACCGGCACATTAAAGATCTTTGTTATATGTTTTTATGTATTTTGAACGTTAGTCATAAAAAGTATACTAAATTAGTTATTATACCTAATATAGATAGTGAACTTTAATGATTGTTGTATTAGTTTTACTAGTAGTGTAAGATATTTTCTTTAGAATAAGTAAAACAAATGAAGCTGGCTTAAAATCCTGTTAGGCGATATGAAAAGATTATCAGAAATGACTTTAATATGAAACAATCTACAAAAAAGCACTAAAACTAAAAGATAATATTAGTGTTTTTAAACTTATTCCTAAAATTTTGATTAAATACTGTCGATTCAAATTTAAACAGTAACTGTTTTGCATTTTTTTTTAGTTAAGACGTAATTTGTTTTATTTTGTGACATATAAATATTTGTTATTTGCAGGTATCTGCTGATAGTGGTTTAACTGCAAGAAGAAGAACTTCTGGTGTCACCTTCCCTATTACTGAAAATCAGGTCAGTATTTTGTCTACACACCAGATAAGCAAAGATATATTCTCTTATTTTGGTTTATTAACTTTAATAATAATAATAATAATCATCCTGGACTATACACATAAAGCCATCTAATCCCAAGCTAAACGGAACTTGTGTTATAAGTCATAGACAACTGATATAAATACTTAAACCAATACAAACATTTGTACTCATAAATACAATCATGAACAACTATACTCATGAATAGATGATTACACCTTGAGAGGAATTAAACCCGCGACTAATTAGTAGCTCGTGTTCACTCAAAATCTTAAATATGTAATGCTCAATAATAATTATTTAAAAGAGCAACACGCACGCTTATTGTTCGTCTTCTTGTGATGAGTATACTTTCCAAATGAGCGGTAGAATAAAAAAATATTATGACTATTAAAAATGGATATATTAAGTTTATTTGAATAAAGGTCTTTTTATGTTATGGTATGTACAGGTAGAAGAGTGTATGGAAAGCAGTGCAGCGATGGCAGCGCTGAGCGCTGGATTAGACGCGGCGCGGGTGCGGCGAGCTGTGACTCGTCGTCTGCGGGCTACAGGTAAAATTTAGAATAAACAAATAGAAAAAGACTATTTTCTCAGACAATAACATATAATAAGATCTTAATAACATCTAGTTCCAAGCTAAGGAGAGCGTGTGTTATTTAAACGACTGATATAAATACATCTTTTCCAATCAGACAGATAACACCCAGATCGATACAAACAATCATACTAACATATGCATGTACTTGCAGGTGTGGGGTAGTAATCATATAGTAAATAACACATTTAGATGGTGAATTCAATATTAAAAAATATTCAAAATATATTTATTCTTGTAGACTCTTATGATATGTCAAATCTACCGTCAGTTCGGAATGATTACGAGATGAGAAGAACTGAAAAGATACTCAGTTCGTATTCTTTTCATCTACATGTTTACAATAATACAGATTCATTTTAAATTCAAATTCATTCATTCATTCATTCAATTGCAGGACTTCCATTCAATTCATCGGAGGGGTTGATTGACGCCGTACTAGATGAGCAGCTAAATGAAGAGGCTTGGAGCGTTTCTCCGCAGAGCCAACGGTTCGCGCGAGACATACTCGCTGAGACGCTTAGGGAGTTTGCCCCTATGTCAAAGTAAGAAATAAAAATATAATAATAATGATAATCTCTCTCTTTCTCTTCTCTTTTCTTTCAGCATAAAGTAGTCCACAGCTGGATGTATGCCTCTTGCATAGTTTTCCACTTAGTTCTATCTGTGGCGCATCTTGCCCAGGTCGGCCCTGCCGTCTTTATGATGTCGTCAGACCATCTGGCGGTTGGTCTGCCTACGCTTGTGCTTCCCATCCTAGGTCGCCGCATTAGGGATCTGTATGTCCATCTGTCGTCATTACTTCGACATACATGACCAGCCCAACGCCACTTTAGCTGCGCGATTCTTTGGATGATGTCGGTAACTCCAGTGTGTCTTCTGATCTCAGTGTTCCGTAGTCTGTTTCGAAGGGAGATACCGAACATGGATCGCTCTATTGCTATTTGGGTGACTTGTAGCTTTTTGATACTTTCGGCGTTTAGCGTCAACGTTTCGCAAGCGTATGTTATTACTGGTAGAACGCATTGGTTGTACAGTCTTGTTTTCAATGTTTGCGGATTCTTAGATTTAAAAACACCTTTGAGTTTACCAAAAGCACCCCATCCTAGTTGAATTCGCCTATCCAACTCTGCATCCAAGGACTCTACATCTAGCCGGATTTTTTAGCCTAGATAGATGTACTCTTCCATGTGTTCTAAAGTGGTTCCCTGAATTGAAACCGATATCGTGTTTGAGGGACCCATCCACTTAGCCTTCAGCAGATTCATCTTCAGGCCTACTCGATCAGATACTTGACTCCATAATGATAATAACGCAGGACAATTCTCAAAGCGCCATACTTAAGCTAACAAAATACTTTTTTTCTTGTGAATATAACTAATATACATAGACATCCAGATTAATACAAACAAGATTCTCATGAATAAAGGTCACGTGCGAGAAATTGAACCAACGACCATCGGAAGTAAGGCGGTGTGTCTCACTACTCTAGACCAACACGGCCGTATAAAATTAAAGTCGTTAGGTAAAATCCCACATGATAAACTCGGGTGGAACCAATTTTGTCATGTGGGATTTTACATAACAACTTTATTCACTTCATTACTTTTTGAAATAGAATAATTTTATTACTGCAGGATGAATAAATTTGCGTTGGCGCAAATTTTACGTTGAATAAAAAATATCAAGTATAAGTAATAAAATATGTTTCTGCATTTTACAGTATAATACCAACACAGTGGGATGGTCGGCCTTCAAGTCGAGACTCCTCTACTAGTGCTACAAGATCTGCTTCGCCGATGGATAACAGACCCCCAGTTGATAACAGACCTCCAGTGGATAATAGACCTCCAGTGGATAATAGAGCTAGGCCTACTCGACAAGAAGAGTCAGATTCCAGTAATAATGTATTTACCGACTCGGCTAACAACATTTTGAATGAAAAAACAGAACAAAAAGCTAACAAAGAAATAACAACGACCCCTGTACCAGAAAACAAAACAAAGTCTTTGGAAGAAGAAAATAGGCAATTAAAAGAAGCAAGATTGTGTAAAGTGTGTATGGATAATGAGGTAAGTTGACATTAGAACTCAACATTTTATCACTATGAATTCAAATGATGGCTTGAACTGAGGTTCGAACCCCTAGTGGTGTCCAAAAAATAAAGTAAAATTTTTTAATGGACAATGGAATGGTGCACCCATCTGCACTAATGGTTTATGCTGGCGGGCCACCAGTGGAGAATAATAAGATGAGCATGAGGTCAGGACATTTAGCCCATCGTGACAAATTCACCAGAAATTTATCACGACGGTTTTCAGAGGTCACCAAGTGGTAGTCGACCTGACATGGTATATTGCTAGCAGTAGGATTATAGCCCTTATTACTAAAAATCCCCCTTTCCCCTCTTGCACGGATTTTTTAATGGATGATAATGTAATGTTGCATACACTAATGCTAACGGTTTACGCTGGCCGGTACCGGTGGAGGATAAGATGAAAATGAGGTCACATCAGTTAGTGTATCGTGACAAAATTGCCAAAACTGTATCATAACGATTTCCAATGGGAACCGCGTAGTAGTCGACCGGACGTGGTACATTGCTAAAAATGGGGTTCTAGTCCCCATTGTTAACAATTCCCGTCTTTCCAAAGAGCCACAAGCAAATTGCTCATTCTTGTGATGAGGAAACTTTCCGAATGGGTAGTACATTAAAGAAATAAGTAATGACTGTTCAAAACGTAACTAACTGCCTGCGTTAACGGTTTATGCTGGCGCCCCCCTCGGGGAGTAGTTTAATGAATACTTTTCTATTGTATTATATTGCTCTCGCATGGATCGGTCTAAGAAGGTGAATGTTGTCGTCAGGTGAGCGTGGTGTTCCTGCCGTGCGGGCACCTGGTGTCGTGTGCGGGGTGCGGGGCGGCGCTGGCGGCCTGTCCTCTGTGCCGCGCCGCCGTGCGGGCGCTCGTGCGGGCCTACCTCGCGTGACGCTCCCACCCCCGCAGGTCGGTCACACACGGCCCTCTATATAATGTAACGGGCACCCGGTCTCGTGTGCGGGGTGCGGGCCTACCTCGCGTGACGCTCCCGCCCCCGCAGGTCGGTCACACACGGCCCACACACGGCCCTCTATATAATGTAACGGGCACCCGGTCTCGTGTGCGGGGTGCGGGCCTACCTCGCGTGACGCTCCCGCCCCCGCAGGTCGGTCACACACGGCCCTCTATATAATGTAACGGGCACTCGGTCTCGTGTGCGGGGTGCGGGCCTACCTCGCGTGACGCTCCCGCCCCCGCAGGTCGGTCACACACGGCCCTCTATATAATGTAACGGGCACTCGGTCTCGTGTGCGGGGTGCGGGCCTACCTCGCGTGACGCTCCCGCCCCCGCAGGTCGGTCACACACGGCCCTCTATATAATGTAACGGGCACTCGGTCTCGTGTGCGGGGTGCGGGCCTACCTCGCGTGACGCTCCCGCCCCCGCAGGTCGGTCACACACGGCCCTCTATATAATGTAACGGGCACCCGGTCTCGTGTGCGGGGTGCGGGCCTACACACGGCCCTCGCGTGACGCTCCCGCCCCCGCAGGTCGGTCACACACGGCCCTCTATATAATGTAACGGGCACCCGGTCTCGTGTGCGGGGTGCACACACGCTCCCACCCCCGCAGGTCGGTCACACACGGCCCTCTATATAATGTAACGGGCACCCGGTCTCGTGTGCGGGGTGCGGGCCTACCTCGCGTGACGCTCCCACCCCCGCAGGTCGGTCACACACGGCCCTCTATATAATGTAACGGGCACCCGGTCTCGTGTGCGGGGTGCGGGCCTACCTCGCGTGACGCTCCCGCCCCCGCAGGTCGGTCACACACGGCCCTCTATATAATGTAACGGGCACCCGGTCTCGTGTGCGGGGTGCGGGCCTACCTCGCGTGACGCTCCCGCCCCCGCAGGTCGGTCACACACGGCCCTCTATATAATGTAACGGGCACTCGGTCTCGTGTGCGGGGTACGGGCCTACCTCGCGTGACGCTCCCGCCCCCGTAGGTCGGTCACACACGGCCCTCTATATAATGTAACGGGCACTCGGTCTCGTGTGCGGGGTGCGGGCCTACCTCGCGGGACGCTCCCTCCCCCGCAGGTCGGTCACACACGGCCCTCTATATAATGTAACGGGCACCCGGTCTCGTGTGCGGGGTGCGGGCCTACCTCGCGTGACGCTCCCACCCCCGCTGGTCGGTCACACACGGCCCTCTATATAATGTAACGGGCACCCGGTCTCGTGTGCGGGGTGCGGGCCTACCTCGCGTGACGCTCCCACCCCCGCAGGTCGGTCACACACGGCCCTCTATATAATGTAACGGGCACCCGGTCTCGTGTGCGGGGTGCGGGCCTACCTCGCGTGACGCTCCCACCCCCGCAGGTCGGTCACACACGGCCCTCTATATAATGTAACGGGCACCTGGTGCCGTGTGGTTCCACCATTTTACAATAATTATTATTGCAAAATGGCGAACGTAAATGGCGTGGCGAAAATAGTCAGATCTATTGAACAAAGACAGTTATAGAGTTATTGATAATTTATGAATCCTAAACATGTCTTTGGAAAATAAAATCTATAGCTATATTTCCTTAAAAGATAGTGAAAAGACACGGTATATACTCGTAATCACTCATGATTGGGCGCATTGACATTTTTAAACAAAGCTTGAAGGTATTATTGTCTATTACGCAAAATGTTAATTAAAAAGGAAGATAAAGACAGTTCGTCTCTATTTTCCTAAAATATTTTTTATAACTATAAAGAATACTTGTGATTTTTTTAAATATAATAACAGACATTCTTGGTACACATTTATAAATGTGAATTTTCTTTACCTTGGTATAATGCTGTAATCTATTGTATTTCTCTGTGGAATAATGTATTTATTTTCTAGTTTCAAATAAGGCTTCAAATTATCTATATCTACTATTTTTTTAATTTAAATTTAAAGTAAACAATATTAGTATATACTAAATATTTCATTTATAAAAAATAATTGAATATGCGCTATTTGATTTTGACATGAAATATTCATTTACAAGATAGAATAAATATTTATTGCTAAATTATCATTTACTTGGTTAAAATCGTACCTAAATATGTATGTAAGATGTAAATTAATAAGATTAATGATTTCACTTTCCAGATCGAGAGCATTGTAAAGAAGATATGCTGTTTAAATCCAGTCTTCACATGCAGTTCAAGTGCATTAGCTGTCCACGTGTTGATTAATTATTAGGCCATAACCAAGTAGTGAGTTATATATATAATATTTACATTACATTAGGCCTACATTAAATGTATGCTTGTAGTGTATACGTGTAGGTATTGGTTAGATCGAATTAATCTGATTTTGAATGAAAATGGACACCTACGATTAAATTGATGTATTTATTTTTCTTTTAATAAAATCAGTATCACATCAGTAGGTCTTTTTTGAGACTACTAGTTATTTGATGCCTAAATATCAACTGCATGCTTGTTGTATATTATATAGGTCGATATATAAAGGTCCTAAGGTAAATTAGGTTAAGTATTGCTGATGACAGATTTTATACACACAAGAAAGAAAGAAAATTTCTGTATTGCTCGAAATACATTGACACATACAGTACTAAGTACTAAGGATTCGCTTAGTAATGCAACTGCAGTCACGTGAGTTCTGGTTGTGGTAGGGGTAAAAAATCTCAAATTATGTGTAAATAGTCAACTTTAATTGTTGGTGTCCATTTTCTTACTTAATACAACATAAATTGTAAATGCACATAAAGTCGACTTCAGGCGATGAGCAATAACCGTAGAATTAAGTACTTAGGTGTTTTGGAATCGTAAATAATGTCCGTTTACATTAGTGGTAAAATATTTGTCACTTATCACAATGCAATAATGTATGTGTTCTAAAATATTAGGAGCATTTGTATCGAAATCTCGCAGTCTGAGAATATTAAAGTAAGTAAATGAATCATATATACTGGTTTACATGTTATTAGTAATAATTCTATGTGTATTAATCACAAGAATACAACTCACTTATACAAGAATTTATTCAGTTTTCTCCTGAAATCGACAACGTCTCCCTATAGTTCTTTGTAAGTCATGACCCACATTTTGTTTTGTAAATTTGATATATATTATTCGTGATTATAAGAAAGTCCTATGTTTTTTTTATTACGTATGTATTTCTCTTTATATACGTATATAGTGTACATCTGCGTTAATAATTCCGCGGAGCACTTAATGATATTAATTTATTTATAGTTTTAATAATATAATTGTAAACAAATTCTGACTATGCGTTAACTCCGAGAGTTATAGTAAAACAGTTCTACATCGTAACGTCTCGTAGACTTATGTAGTATACTTGTATGTTGTCAATACAGAATAAAATAAATAACTTTAGGGTCCAATGTTAACAATCATGTTAAATTTTTTACATTTTTATTGTATATATTGGTGTTAGAGTTACATAAATCTGTTCATTGTGACTCGACTTCTATCTCCAATCATGTTTCAAAAATTTTATTACTTCGACTGCGTAGATATCTGAAATTAGTTAATTAAAGCTATTCTTATGAAACTTCTGAAGTTACTTTACTGCGCATTTAATAAATATTGATTAAAAATATATTGTAATGTTAACTCAAAATATTAGATCGTATATCTAGCGTGCCGAGTTGAACCGAGTTTAATGACATACAGGCTATGTTACTTATAATGTATATATCTATAGGTTTATATATGAAGCCGTAAAGCCAGTATTAGTATTCATAAAACTGAACAACTTTCTTCAGGATAATTAAAATATATTTTTTTTAATTTGATAGTCTCGCTGGTTCGGTTCCTCGCACAGTTGCACATTAGTTTTCTAGAGTATGATTGTTATTGTCTGGATATTTTTTATGTACATTAGAATATAGATTTATAAAAAAAATAAGTGTTTCTATGAATTATCTATCTAGCACTCTTAACACAAGCTTAGTCCAGGACTAGATGGCGCTATGTAAATTGGCTGAGTTATTGTTATTTTATCGTCTCAATTAGATAATTTGTTTAATATTTATTTCATTATTTCACTTTGTTTCTTGGTGAAAGCAGTTCAGTTTCATGATTACTCCACATGGTTTGGTATACCCTTTACGTCAAGTCCTGATATAAGAAAGAATTTTTAAATTTGTTTAAGTGTTTGTTCGTTATTCAAATTTTATTCATTATAAAGAATGAAATCTTTGCTCTTTATAATATTAGTATAGATTATCAGAACAAAGAACATTAGATGTAATAAAGATGTTATGATTACATTACAATTATAATTATCTAACATCATATAGATACTAATAGTACATGAAACGATTGCTCATAGGATAGAGCACAGGTCATCTATATTATCAAGAAGAAATTTTTATATAATAAGTATAGAAACCAAAGCTCCTATCATAAGATATTAAAGTTTTGAATGATACCAATAGAATATCTACTTATTGTAATATTGAAATGTAAAGACATGGATCTGTAAATGTTGAGTATAACTCACGTGGAAATGTGAAATGAATATATGAATAATGTATCTTGTTTCATATTTGATTTATCATATAAAATGGACATTAGTATTACTCATATTTAACATATTATTAATTTTAACTTCGGCATAGTCGGGTAAAATAAACTCATTTGTCATCACAGTTTATTTTTCTACTGTTGTACATATGACCCCTCTCCTCTCTTACCCGTGCACTTACCTTACATTTTTGTACCCGTAAAAGACTCAGTCACTTAATTCAAATGCCGCCTTTGGTTGCAAGCTGTATTAGGTTGAGATTAGGCATTGAAATTATGGGATAAAAGGCGTGACATTTATAACTTCGAAAGAAAGGAACACCTGTCTTCAATCAAAAAAGTAGTTCAAAGAAACATACAACTATAGCAAGTATTGATACACAGGAATCAACATTTTCGAACCATATAGTACTATTGTTTGCGGATGAAAATGGCATCGGAATAGGATAAATCTTGCAAAGGCTAATTGGGTGACAAATATATAGTGACTTCCGGAATGGCAACATATGAGTCTTATTACATGGTGTAAGTACTGTTTATGTATACAGGGAACTGTTCATATATATATGCATGTAGGTATGTATCAGGTGGTCGGTCGTTTTAATTACCATTGCAATTACATAAAAAAATATTTAAATTTTTAAGACGCCATTCTATTCAAAGCTTATTACGTTATAATATATTATATATTGCGTTGTTTAAAGTTTTATTATAGCCAATACTTTGAAGTATTAATAAAGATTACTATATACTTGTGCTGTATTTCAGTGGAAGAGTGAGATAAGACGGAAACAAAAATTTAGTTTTATTATTATTTTTTAATGCGTAAAATTTTTATAAAATTTGTGAGTATGGATAGATGTTTGTTACTCTTTCACGCAAATACTATTTATTGTAGTGAATGAATTTTGTAGAAACTATACCGTAATATAGGTTATACATCAAAATAATATCTACAGACTACAAATTTCATGCGGGTGAAACCGTGAGCACATTACTCGAATATATGTATGGCAGTAGGTATAGATTTCATTATAGGTATTATATATATGTATATATATATTAATATTTTTGTAAGTATATAATATATAATCTATATTAGAAATGCGTAATCTATACGCATATTTCTTATATAGATTATATATTATCGCGAATATGAATAACAAATACAACAATACCTATATAATTATTAATAATATCATATATTCTTTGTTTTAACATTAAAGAATTTATTGGCATTAAAGTACAGTGAGTAATATAATAAAAGGAAAAGTTAAATCGAAATTACGTGATATAATTTTCTAAGATCAAATCTTTCGATAATCTTTAACAACTAAACTTAATAATATATATATTTTAAATAAAATTTAATAATATATATATTTTTTTTATAACACGCGCATGCGGCTCACCTGATGGTAAGTGATTACCGCCGCCCATGAGCACTCGCAACACCAGGGGAATTGCAAGTACCTTGTCGGCCTTTTAAAAAGGAATAAGCTCTTTTCTTGAAGGTTTCAATATCGTATCGGTTCGGAAATACCATTGCTGGAAGGTGATTCCACAATGTGGTTGTGCGTGGCAAAAAGTTTCTAGAAAACCGCACTGTGGAAGACCGCCATTTATCCAGATGATCAGGATGGTATTTCAGTTTCTGGCGGGTGGTACGGTGGTGAAACTCAGCAGCTGGTATTAATCCGAACAATTCCTCAGACCACTCCCCGTGAAATATGCGGTAGAAAATGCACTGAGATGCAATATCTCGCCGCAAAGCCGAAAAGCTCGGTCGAGTCTGTCACACAGGCGTTGATTACCAATGATTCTGGCTGCTCGGTTCTGAATGCGGTCAAATGGAAGTAGCTGGTATTGTGGTGCTCCCGCCCAGAGATGAGAACAGTATTCCATATGCGGCCGGATCTGCGCCTTGTATAATTGCAAGCGATGGGCCGCCATGATATACCGTCTCACTCTACTGAGCACACCAAGCTTTTTTGAGGCTATTTTAGCCTTGTCCTCCAAATGACCGCAAAACTGAACGTCACTGGATATATCAACGCCAAGGACCTCGAGATTTGGCTTCACCTCAAGGAGAGTGACTTGAAACTGAGGAGATACGATAAATGGATTCTTTTTAGCGGTAAACGCGCTATATATATATGTAATATAGTATATCACTTCAACAATTTTACTGAACTGCAATTCATCATCTATTTATAAAAAAAGGTTGAAGTCGAAATATGTTTTGATATTTTATGTTTCTCGCATCAATTGGTCCGGTTGGAAATCCCGAGCTCGCTATGCCATATCGAAAATTATAGTAGGTAATCATTACAGCACTTAAAAGTTTTTCGATTTAATTATTATTTTATTTTTTTATTTATTTTATTTCAGATTACATCCATATTGTGTTAGTAAACAACTTACAAAACTATGTTAGTAACTTATAATATACAGATACACTTACTTCATAAATCTGCGTCCACGTCCAGAAGCACTGGGTCCATTATGCGACCAACTAACTATTGTAAGTATTTTTTTTAGGAATTAAGAATAAACCACATTTCAATGTTTAAAATAAAATAGTAAAGTAGTAATAAAAAAATAAAAAGTAAGTAGGTTATTCGATATGATTTTGTTATATAATAGTTACTGATCTATTATTAAGTAATTTTTAAATGCCTGATTCAGAATGTAAAGTAACATCATCATACAGACGGTATCCATTAATCCCATTTTTTTTATACTACTATGGTGGTAAACAAGCATACGGCCCATCTGATGGTAAATAGTTACCGTAGCCTATGGATGCCTGAAGCACCAGGAGTGTCACGTGCGTGTTGCCGAGACTTAAGAAATCTTAATATACCCTTCTTGAAAAACCCCATGCTGTAGTCTCGTGAGAAAACCTCGGCAGGAAATTCATTCCACAATCTAAGTGTACGCGGGAGGAAACTCCTCTGAAACCGCACTATCCGAGACCACTTAGGTGCCAGCGTGTGGGAATGAATTCCCTGTCGATGGCGAGCGGTGTGATGGTAAAAGGTGGCCGTAGGCATCAT